TCGATCTCCTGACCTCGTGATCCGCCCGTCTCGGCCTCCCAAAGTGCTGGGATTACAGGCTTGAGCCACCGCGCCCGGCCTTTAGTTTTATTTTTTTAGACAGAGTCTCGCTCTGTCGCCCAGGCTGGAGTGCAGTGGCGCGATCTCGGCTCACTGCAAGCTCCGCCTCCCGGGTTTGCGCCATTCTCCTGCCTCAGCCTCCTGAGTACCTGGGACTACAGGCGCCCGCCACCTTGCCCGGCTAGTTTTTTGTATTTTTTAGTGGAGACGGGGTTTCACCTTGTTAGCCAGGATGGTCTCGATTTCCTGACCTCGTGATCCGCTCGTCTCAGCCTCCCAAAGTGCTGGGATTACAGGCTTGAGCCACTGCGCCTGGCCCCCAGCCATTTATTTTTAATGTAAATATTTTTTTGTAGATATGGGATCTTGTTATGTTACCCAGTCTGGCCTCAAACTCCTGGGCTCGAGCACTGTTCCAGCCTTGACTCCCCAAAGTGCCGGGATTACATGAGGAAGCCACCAATGCCTAGCTGAATATTTAAATTTAAGATGCTACCTGATGCAGTGGCTTGCACCTTTGTTCAAATGTCTGCCTTCTCCATGAAGCCTACCTGAGTACTTTATTTGCATTCCAGCCGATGCTTGATTTTTTCCTCAAATTCTCATCACCTTGGAATATACAATACTACCTATTTTTAATTTTTTTTTTTTTGAGATGGAGTCTTACTCTGTCGCCCAGGCTGGAGTGCAGTGGCATGATCTCCGCTCACTGCAAGCTCCGCCGCCTCCCGGGTTCACGCCATTCTCCTGCCTCAACCTCCCGAGAAGCTGGGACTACAGGTGCCCGCCACCACGCCCGGCTAATTTTTTTTTGTATTTTTAGTAGAGACGGGAGTTTCACCGTGTTTGCCAGGATGGTCTCGATCTCCTGACCTCGTAATCCGCCCACCTCAGCCTCCCAAAGTGCTGGGCTCACAGGCATGAGCCACCGCGCCTGGCCTATTTTTTACTTTTATGTATATTTTTGAGACAGGATTTCACTTCTGGCATTGGTGTGATCACAGCTCACTGCAGACTGGAACTCCTGGGCTCAAGTGATCTCCCTTCTTCAGCCTCCTGAGTAGCTGGGACTACAGGTGCACACAACCATGCCCAATGAATTTTTAAATTTCTTGTGGCGACAGGTTCTTGCTATGTTGCCCAGGATGGCCTTGAACTCGGGCTCAAGCCATCCTCCCACCTCAGCCTCTCAAAGTGCTGGGATTACAGGTGTGAGCCACTGTTCCTGGCCTGTTTACATATTTTTTAAAATTTTGTGTGTTGAGGCCAGGCGCAGTGGCTCACACCTGTAATCTCAGCACTTTGGGAGGCCGAGGCG